TCCAACAATGTCGAGTTGGTACTTCGTGGCCTCATCAACTAATTCTTGTTCTTTTCCTCTGAGTGAGGATGTTCCAATTTCCGACTCTAAGCTCCCACTGGTGGTGTCGTTTTCGTGGAGCCTTTTCTGACGTGCTGTAATGGCATCGCACTATCTGCCTCGACCATTCAGAACGGATAGCGACTTCGTTGCTGACTGGTAGCTTCGTCGTCGATCTTCGTCAGCCGTTGTTGTGGTGCCACGCGTCCGGCTGGCAGAGGGCAATGAGCAGGTTGTGATCGCCGACTTTGATATGACCGGAGTTGAACTATTAAGTTGTTTGATAAGCCCCTGAACTAGATGCCGCAATGGGATTTGATGTAATGATGAGAGTGAAACAATTTTGCGCATAAAGATTTAATTGGTTTCCGTTATCTAATGATTGTATCGAAAACCCGGCCTTGATGACATCCGAACCAGGCTTGAATCTTGCCCTTTTGACGTTGAAATCTTGAAGCTTCTTGAAGCAATTCCTCTCAACCTGAACGCATTAAGAGTAAATGAAAAATGAAGGGACTGTTTTTGAGATGCGTAGTTTGGAAACCACGGAGATGGAGATGTTTAGTCCTGATGATGCTACTGGGACTGCAAATTTCGTCTACTGTTATTCATGTTTTCATTATTTTATATCTGGGTTTCCTGACGATGCGTCAAGAAAACGGTCCGTTAATGAATTATGGGCAAAGAATAAAGAACTTTTAAGAAAATTCTACATGAATAATTATGCTTATATATTGGGTGGCATCAGTCTTGCACAGAGTTAATAGTTTTCGTAGATATTCATTCGAGAAAAACTCAGATATAAAATGAAAGAATGTACCGCTACGGTATTATTGTATTTTTGCTTCAAATATCTTTCTTTTATCTTGCCTTTAACTGAGTAGCTACGCTTAAGTTGTCTGCTGTCTAGCATGATTTCTGTTTGGCTTATGGCATCTGCGTGTTTATTTAGAATGCTGAAGAAGAATGTGAATTTCCTCTGGAAAGAAATGACTACATTGACAATATCTTAAAGGTTTTGTTGAATAATGTTGGGAGACGACAGATCATGTTTTCTTCTTTCGATCCCGATACATGTCTCATGTACAAACTGCCGCCTTTCGCAGCTGCTCATTTTAATGGACGATTTTCAATTAGGCTGAAAATGAAGCAGAATCGATTCCACGTACTGTTTCTAACGCAAGGCAAAAGTCAACGTTACATTGCGTACATGGACAGGCGAACACAGTCGTCAGAAGCGGCTATTTTATTTGCGTTCAGCAACAAACTCTCTGTAACCTTTATGAACGGCTGTTTCAGTGCTTAACAGTAAGCTATCATTTTAGGGTATCGTGTTTCACAGTGAAGACATGTTGAGTAACATTCAGCCGTTTCACTATGCCAAGGCAAAGAAACTCGTCTGTTTTGTCTGGGGCAACGATTTAGACAGCGCGAAAAACATCGATCACTTTACCAGACTTGGATTCGATGGCGTTATTTATGACAGGTACCGCAGAGCGACGTAAATTTTTATTTTTAACTACCAGATACGTCTTTGATGCCGCTGTGATGCGTTGACAAGATTTGGCCTGGCCGCACTGCTGGCTGAAGCAGCCGAACTTTTCTTGCTAATGTGCTGTAGGCCTAATGTGTCTCAGGGTCAGAGAAGGAGCATTCGAACCAAGGCTATTTCATGGCCAGGTCAGGGTAAACGGTCGCACCACATTGTACGTCGTAAAGGCTAAAACAAGACCCGTTCGAACTTGAGGCTAATAAGCTCATTCAAGAAAAAATTATGCCATTGCTCCCCCTATTTTTCAGACACTGCAACTGACTGTACTGCAACATGACTATTAACGGACCTCCTGTTTGTTTATGGCGACAGCCGAAAACAACACGAAACTCAGAATAAGATACTTAAATGAAACCAAGCGCAGTAGGCGGAAGTTAAAATCCTTTTGCGCGGCCTCCCGTTAAGTGTACTGTAAAGCAAATTAAATTTATCATATCGGCGATATAGGAACTCCATTATCTCTACTAGACAAAATTCCAGTAACCCTACTGAGCGTTATCCAAAACTGAACGGTGCCTTTCAGGGCCAGTGAAACTTTTACCCAGAACATGGCTTCCACTTGTATGACTCACGCCATGACCAGGCATTATCTGCACAAGTTTCCAGGCGTTGTGGAAGCCAATTAACCTTCTGTCGATTCGTTAATGAGGTATTTTTAAAGCAGATTTGAATTCTTCTAGTCTTTTCATTACTCATCATTGATGTCAAAGGACGATGGCGTTAAGTCATTGGTGGTTTGTTAAGATTGTTCCACGATGTGAAACTGAGCAAGGGTGGGTGCCTCATCCTGTTTATGAATGATATACTCTAACCGAAACTTTCATGATCTTATCTTAAAGTGAAATATCGGTCATGAACTCAGTTGTTTCTTATTCCTGCTGCGGATTATATATGCCAAATAAATTTCTCTTATTTATCCGTGCAGGGAATATCAGTTTCACAATCTGAGTAATCGGTTATGCGTATTGAATTGTTAAGCAATTCTAATAACTTTTTTAATGTCTTTTGTGATAACAAAAATTAGTGTTACTTAAGAAGCAGGAAAAATGCAGCCCCCCTTGTTTCAGCATTATGAATGGCTCTATTGATTGCTTCTTGTTTTATGTGTATAGGCGTTGATCTTTAGTTTTGCGTAGTCTTTTCACGCCTCAGCTGGTGGAGATCTCAAACAACTGTGTCTATCTTGAATCAAAACGTAGCAGTTAAAGTTAAATTTCAAGTGTATAAGCAATTCTTTGTTATTCTTTGTCGCAGATATGAGAGTATAATGTATTAAAATATTTCATTGTTCTATGAAGTTTTTGCAAATTCAGTCTTGAAAATGGTCACCCTTCGGGTGTTGTATCGAAATGTTTCCGTATCTGACTAGAGTTTTGATTAAAGTAGTTGTGCGTTTTGTTTGCGACCGTGTATTTAGAATTGACTTTCGAGGGCATGTTTCCATTCACTGATTCTCCGTCGTCAGTACAGCGATTCGAATGACTTTGGTTGTGATGATTGTTATGCAGATTTTACAAAGTTGTCTTGATGTATCTGTGTACATATTCATATTTTAGAATGGATATTCATTTTTGAGTTTCAGTTTTTGATCAGTTACATTGTTAAGTTATGATGTATTTGTTTTATTTATTACTGTTTACATGCTTTCATGAATGATTTTGATTATATTAAACGTCAATCATGGTAAATTGAATGACTTTGCCGTTGTATCTGCGTAGGTCCAGCAGCACTTCGTAGGCGCAGCATCGATGAAAATCAAAGTTAGACAAGTTCTTTCGCGTTTACGTTGTGTTAATCTCTCACCACTGACCACATTATGGACAATACCGGACGTTTTAAACGAAGCGAAACCGCTAGCATGAAATGAACCATAGTCTATTGCTTTTTTACCGCTACTGGAAATCTCTGTTGAAGTCCATGCAATTTGAACTATAAGCTTATTAAAATAAAAGCCAGTCACCCGAGAGGAACTGAAGATCACACAGTCTTGACCTACGCAAAGAGGACGTTTCAGACGGCAAAATTTGGTATCTCGGTCGGAAAATCATCAGTTTCCGTTGCGGATGAGAAGCTTGGCCAGAACACTCGTCTGCATTTCTTCGGAAATAGGCAAGCACCAATTTTTGGACATGAATAGAATTATTCCTTGATGTGCTCAAGGCCATTACGCTCAAATCACAAGAAAAGGAAGCAGATGTTCGGTTAATCGACTGTTCTGATATCAGTGACGAGCACTGACATTGGCTACTGCTACGTTAAGTAGAAAATGCGTTGCGCCGTACTTCGCTCTGGCATGCAGTCATCTTGCTGTGGTCGTTGCTCGTTACCCTGATGTGAAGGCAAAGTCTAATTGTCTGTTAAAAGTTATTTATTTAATAAAAACTCCGAAAAAGATAATGCAGTATGCTTTTCCAGATATCGATGTGTAAATGAGCGCCAGAAATGAATTGCACTCTTTTCTCGTGAAAACCTACTTCATATCTCAGACCAAGATCAGTTCCTGTATCGGAAATGTTTTCCTTTGCTTTAAGATGGCGTAGTGGCGAGTGGTCTAAAGGTCGTCTTCGAGCTACGCAGGCGACGGGTTCGATTCCAGCAGCGTATCAATCTTCGTCTTGGCCAAAAATTCCCTAGAGCAAGGAACTTATTATACGTTGCTCCAGACCGGGATTGCTCAGTCGGTAGAGCGCTGGACTCATAGTCGAGAAGTTCTGGGTTCAAGTCATAACCGTAGTCACTTGCTTTTCTTCCTTTTGAGGTTTATAAATGAGTACTACTCTGATACATGAGTGAGATTTAAACAAACAGACAAATGCAGACTTCCCTTATGACATTGATCTTGTTGATTCTGCCTTTAAAAATAAGGCAGGTTGACCGGTGACAGAATGGAAGTCAGCGTCCCTACCATTAAGTTCGTGGAAACAAGGGTGCTAGAATCTGTGTAAACAAGCGGTGCATCTGCTGCAATTTAGTCTTCGCTGTTTCAGGCCAGTACATCAGAGAAATAGCTCCAATAGTTTTCTAACATCCATGGGTTTTCAGTGCACATCGGCGTGATATTATGAAAAAGGTTAGATAGTCGGAAAGGTCTACCATTAATCGAGATACGGTGCGAAAAAGGATATAGTGGATCGTCGTTTGTTTTTGCACTCGAACTGGAACAGGGCTGAAGTTTTTAACAGTTACTTTCTTCAAGCAAGGAATTTACTCCAATGTGCATCGACGCGACACAGCCGGCTGATTGATGGGTAGCAAGTTTGACCTATGAACAATAGGAACAACGTGATACTGTGTTGTCAACATGCCTGAAGATGCGAGATTTACGACTACAGTTCGCCCTGACAAGCTTGATAGCTGACAAAAAGTTAGCCCCCGTAGAAAAGAGTAGGAGGAGTTATGAAGATATGTACCCTTGCATTGTAAACTCTAGGCTTGTTTCATTACGATTTGAAATAGTAGTGTCTCAGTGACTCCTGTCCGGGGTCGATTTAGGATCATCATATTATTCCAGATTGTCAAGTGCAAAATGCTTCAATGCCAAGAAGGAGTGACTGAAAGTGGAAGATCTAACAACAACGGTCAGTTGGAAATAATTTGTTCTGCTGTTTACCTAGTTTAGTAAAGGCAGGAAGAGCGACAGTGATCGACTTATTCATTTTTCCTTATTGAAACTCAACGTGTGGGCATAGAAATTTCTTGCAATTCTTGTCGCTCGGACTTCTTTAGCGAGGATGGCATTCGAAGAATAATGAGAGATTGGTAACCGTATAGGATTACGCACTTTCATGCTTTAAATTGCAATTGTCCTGCGAATAATTGATTTGAGCAACCGAACAATTCAATGAATGTGATTGGTCGTAATTTTCCGTAGGTGTAAAAATGGATGCATTAGTTTGCGCTGAACTATCTCATTATTGTCGCTCCATGGATACCATACGTAATGATGGAGTAATCAAAAATTAATATTAGGAAAGCAAAGCTCTGATAATAAATCATACGCTCGAGTCAGTCGATTCAATACTTAGATGTAAATGAAGATGCGTAATTTGAAATGGTGAGAACAGCAAAAATTAATGTCGAACAAGCAGGGTGAGATTCTGGCCTGATCAGTCTTATGATAAAACGTCTGTTAATGCCGCGCTTCGACAAGCGGCGGCAGTGGCGTAGGATTCCGCTGTCACATTTTCCATCATCGCATATCCACTATTGCCTGGCGTGAGCGAAATCCGTATTGCAAGCTCGAATGGCACATGTGAGGCACTCGGCTCTCATTTGATATACGAAATTTATGGTACTCACTTCAGCTGGTATAACTCGCTATTGCGCATGTAGAGGAATGCTGAACCAGTACTGGCACCTCCACTATAACCGGCAACTGAACACCGGACGGCGACTGTCAGTTCGAACAGAAGCGGTCGAGCCCAGTTTAGCGCAAATCAGTTTACCTACTAAATTCAATGTGTACGTTACAGATTTGAGAACGTCGAAGCCGTTGTGGAAACATAACGGCTTCGCTGGTGGAAGATCGCGGCGTGCCGCTTGTTTAGCTGATGTGCAAACCGCAAGTCAGACGAGTGATGCTGCTCGCCTTCAGTTAATGCCACTTGAACACTAAAGTACAATGCCGATATAGGGAGATGGGATACTGGAACCACTTTCTAGGCCAACTAGCTGCAACTCTTTGTGCCTCCGATGAACCCTGATTGTAAACAATGGCAAGAAAATAAACCCAAGCCGGGCAGCTGCATCGAGGCCAAGGACTTGGCCATCGACGAACGGATACAAACTTGCCACCAGTGACGCACCAACGGTCGACATGAAGCGGCCTCGGCGCCAATTACGTATCAGACGCGTTCGATTCAACGACTAAAGTGTCACCCGCTGTTCGTGCGTTGTGTCCCTAACTTCTGTTGTTGTCTTTCGAAAGCCACACTTATTCAATCACCTGTGGTT